GAACCTTTTGTATAGAGATATGGTGCTGTTAGTGCCCTCTGAACTAAAAACTCCATGCGTTGCAGACAAAGAAGAGACAGCCGGATTCAACTGAGATGAAAAAAAACACACCAGAAAAACAAGATATTGAGTGGAATGGATAACAGACTTCTTCATCCGATCAACTTCTCTGAGGAGAAGGTGTGTGTGTGTGAGGAAGACTCTTCAAAGGATGGAGCCAGAAAGAGCCAGTCTTTCATAAAATGATAGAAATTGAGCGTGTGAAAATGAAAGAATCGAGCAATAACCAGACCACCTGAAAGAAAATGTAGTGTGCTGATGCCAGTCCAAAAAAGAAGAGCTCATAAATGATAAGCATGATCCTCATGGACAAGACATAGAATGACGTAAAGATAAGTGTTGGACATGTCAAATTTTGTCACCCAAAGCCCTAGAAGAAGGCCCCTCTGAGGGGCAGGTTGGATTCCAAAGTGAACCAAGGCATGTCGAGGAAATGATTCAGATGGGAGGGATCGATCACAGAATGCTAATCCCCTGTCTTCTTTGGGACAACAAAAAGTCAGGAGAAACCTGTCTGATGGGTCCCTTGATGAGAAGGATGTGAACTTCATCTGTGAGAAACTGGCAGAAAACTGGATTTTAAGGAGGAAAGGAACTTGGAAAGGTGGGAGGTGTGGGGAAAATGAGAGTCCTGAAAAAAACTCCAATGATCCAAGGGTATTCACCAGTAATGCTGATATTGTACAGGACATTGGTGAACAATGGTACAACATGTAGACATGGTCCAGGAAGAGTGAACCAGTAAAGGAGAAGAAGAAGGAGGATGGGAAACGGGAAGTAAGGGAAGATAGAGAAGGTTGAAATTTAACAGAATCAACACAAGACTCCAAAGTGTCTGGAAGCCCAACAAAGATAATAGATCTCAGAAAAGGAGCTATTTGAAAGTCTCACAAGATGTCCATATCATTCTGATCAAGATCCTTAGATAATGGCAGAATTGCTTATAGATAGGGAGATCCCTTGGCCTGCATGAAAGAAGCCATCTCCCAATGAACTATGGCCAACACTTCCTCCATTGATAATGCCACACCTACAATCGTTATCACAGGCTATTGAATGCTGGTACAGTAAGTATCCATTGTAGTCATAATATCAAAATGAGAATACAAAAATATTGACTGACTGTTAGTAATTGAGTGAGAAATAGAATTCACAATCAAATAAATAAAACCAACTTGGAAATGCAAAATTCAGTAACTGAATATTTTCAAAACACATGAAGAAAATAATGTCTGAAATCAAGCATTAGGTCATAACACTGTTGTGTCAAATCCTATTGGTGGAGAGTTGTCACATGCAAGTTTGCATGCGGAACCACATGGTACATACGTGGAACTAGGTGGGAGTTAAAGGCTATTGGTGAGTGAAAATTTGTGCACTAGAGAGCAGTGAAATTGAGAACAGCTGTAACTGTGAGAGGAGGTAAGTAATCATATCAGAATTAGTTACACTCAGGAGGAAGCCTTCATGATACACCACCCCAGATGCTAGAAACTGGTAAGTGGTAAGGACTCCTGTATTCCACTGGAAGAGGGGGAAATAACGTAGTACGGAGTCTGTAGGAATGCAACACCATAAGACAGTGCAAAAGGTTAACCATGAAAACCCTATTTTAAAAAGTAGGCTGGTCCTAATTTATTTAACCAGGACAAGAGGGATAGCAAGTGATCCCAACACTGCTTTACTCATGATAGTAAAATAAATGTATGAGGCATAGACCACATGCCCACCTGCACGACCTCCTCTAATGGAAGGTGGAAGTGAGCAGCCAGGAAAAGGGTATGATGATGAACCTGGAGGGAGGAAACATGGAAGATACAATGAGAATTCTCAAATAATGACACATAAGCAAGACAAATAAGATGATGCTTTCATCTAGTAAGGGTGACAAGAGAGAAAGACCATGGGCAAATGAAGAGTACCAGGGTATAAAAAGTCGGGAACAGGAGTCATGGAATAAAGATGTGTGGGCAATATAATAATGCAGAGCATGTACCAGATAAAGAAGATTATTTGGATCAGAATGGGAATACAAGTGTGAAATGGACAGAAGATAAATAGGAGTGAAGGTGATATCTTCTTCACATGCAGCTTTTTTTTGAAAAAAAAACTACAATCCTGATAAAGGAAGACATATGTATGATTATGAAGAATACGGAAAACATCAATAGCAGAGATATCATACTGACAATGTTTGCACATCAAGAGAAGTAATAAATAAGTATTAAGAGAGTGGTGGTATATAGAGAAAAATGCTAAAGGTTCAAATGGAGGAAGAAGGGTAAGAGTATGAAGGACAACATTGAGATTCCAATATAGTAGGGGAACAAGATGAGGCAGAGAAATCAGACAAAAAGAATGAAACAGGATAGAAATAGAGAGGAAAAAACATGGTGGAAGCAGGAAAAAGAAAAGTATTGGACAAGGCCACTATATAGCCCACAGTGGTAGAAACGTTGGAGAAGTGGGAAACACTTGACTGAGAAGGAGAGAAGCCATTACACAAAGACCAACAATGGAAAAATGTGTCATTTACACTGGTAAATCAGCAAAGAAGAACAGACTGAGTGATAAAGAAGGAAGGATACCAACATAGAGAGTCTGGATTGGCTCACAAAAGACTGAGCAAAATCCACATGTGAAGATGGAGTGTGGCTACAATGGGATGATATACGGAGAACTGAAATTGCTGTAGAAGGGATTGAAAAAGTGGTAGAGGTGTTGGAGGAAATGATTGAAGGAGGGACAAGAGTAGTAACTTTGTTGTGCAGGCCAGAATAAGATAATGAGAAGGAATCGACACAGATTGGTTTGTATAGAAGAGAGAGCGTGGGGAAGAAGATGGATGGGAGAATAAGCATACATGTAAAGATTGGTCCAATCCATCCACAACTAAACTGAAAGATGCTGAACCATATACCATAAGAGAGGAAAATTTGGTATTGAGCTGGGTGGCAAATGCGTCTAGAAGGGGGTACCCAGCTGGAAACTTAACCATGGAACATGTGGAGCAAGAGACCACTCCATCAGTAGAATTGTCAAGACAAGAGAGCTGATCTGTCACAAAATTCAGGGCACCCGGAATATGACAAACCAGAAAACAGACTGTCTGAGATTGGGCCCAGAAAATGAGATTCAGTGTTTCAAAACAAAGTGAATTAGTTCAGGTCCCCCTTTAATGATTGATGTAAGAGACAATAGTCGAATTTTGAAATGGATCATGTCCAGATGGTCCTGTACTACTGGAAGGAAATGACCCAATGCCTGACAAACAGCTATTAGTTCCAAAAGGTAATGTGTTAGGAAGATTCTACCTCTGGCCGACTATCTCTTGAGAATTCAAATATGTCCTCCTCCCCCATCCTACAAGAGAAGCATTTGTAAATAGATGAAAACTGGGATGGGTAGGAGGCAGAAGAATGGCAACTGAAGTGTTGCCACTTGCTACCAGGTAAAGTTGACTTGAGGGAGAGAGAAAGGTGGATAGAAGAGTCCAAGGGATCCGAAGTTAGATTCTGTTGATGATGCAGCACCCACTGAAAACAATACATGTGTGCACAACCCAAGGGACGAGGGATTCCATGAAAGGCCAGGTCCTGAAAAGAGAAAGAACCTTATATGCAGAAAGAGAAGAAGTCTTGGCCTTGGACACCTAAAGCTCCATATTTTTTGAACAAAGAGGAAAAGGCTAGACCCTGCTGAGGTAGGTGTTGAGAAATACCACCAGATGAATAAGATATTGTGTGGGGGTAAGATGGGACTTCTCCAGATTGATAAACCCATATGAGTCGCTTCTTATAGGAAATGTGTATGGTTGTGAGAGGCTTGTTGTGAAAGAACCAGTCATGCAAATAATGGTGAAACCTCAAACCCTGGTCGTGAATATGGCAGGTAAAGGCTCTGACATTGCAACAGAAGATGTTTAGTGCCAATGCCAGACTGAATAGTATATTGCAGAACTGAAACATCTGACCCCCATAAACAAACCAAAGATAATGTCTGGATGCAGGAACAATAGGGATATAAAGATAAGCATCCGAGCTATTGACCTTGATCATTGTTTGTTTGAAGTTAAGCACAGAGCTTCAGAATGGGCTATCTGTGCTCTGCCCACAATGGGTATTGATGCCCGGTTTCTAGCATTGTAAGTCCGCAGACATACCGCTGTGCCACTGGGGGGCGTAGGAAGTGTAAAGTTTTGATGCCATTCATTTTAAGTTAATAATTAACCTGTAAATTACCAACTTGTTGTTTAGACTGATCAGTGCTGGTTATGTCTGCATATTACATCACATTGAGTGAATTCATATTTCAGACAGTTACAAAACTCAAGATAAATAAATTACCAATTTGTTGTTTAGATTGATCAGTGCTGGTTATGTCTGCATATTACATCACATTGAGTGAATTCATATTCATACAGTTACAAAACTCAAGATAAATAAATTACCAACTTGTTGTTTAGACTGATCAGTGCTGGTTATGTCTGCATATTACATCACATTGAGTGAATTTATATTTCAGACAGTTACAAAACTCAAGATAAATAACCAAAACAAATTGAGTGAAATCACTCATTTTCTGTTAATAATAAATACACACCCCAGAACTTAATGACTGGAATTAATTACAGTATTGTTGGTATTTTTATTTAAAATGTTTTATGTGATTCATGTGTTAGGAGGAACCTTGTAACCAATAAGGTTCATAAAGTTTTTAGAAAAATATGTAAATATTGTAGCTTTATGCTACAACATGACATCAATTAATCTAAGGCTTTTAAACATTTGGGCAACTATTTCAATACATATACTATTAAATTATACTATTTTTTTACACTAATAGACTTTAAGCTTATCCTTAAAAACACAAATAATGTAAAATAAATATTTGAAAACAAAATATATATTTATTGACAAATAATGAAACATAACACTTACAGTAGGAGCATCAGCTAATGAAGATGTAAGGTTAAGATCAGTACTATATGGAACTCCACGTTTATCCATCTCCTGCTGCCAATTCTTTAGCAGTAAGTTGCGAAATTCTTGGTTAAATGGTCCACAGTAGGACAGAAATCCCGTGCAAAGCAAGGCATCTCCAGTTGTTCTTGTTAAGATATAAAATATGATATTTGAATTTCAAAGATTAAGAGAAATAATACACCTTTTGCACTGAGAAAAAAATTAGATGTAAGAACTATGTTTGAAATACTAATATTCATAATATATTTATCTAAGAAAGAAGTTTCCTGTAGTTTTATTGTGGAATGAAATTAATCATAGTTCTAAGCTTTTAGATGAAATTTATTTAGACATTTTTATAATGAGTAATGTTCTCATGGTACAGTAAACACAAAATATTATGATGTTCTCATGTGAATATCTTGAAAGTCTACAGTTCACCTCTCATCATCAATATGTGGGTCAAGCATAAATAATTTTTGTTATTTCAATAAAAAGAATAAATCAACTGACAAATTAAACCATATCTGTCATGCTACATCTCAGTGCTGAATTTTATTGGTATAAAGTTTCATATACAAATGTTTACTACAAAACACAATCAAGTAAATAGAAATACCATTTTCAAAGGTTTAAGCATTATTTTTGTTCATGCAGGGATTATAACTTCATCAGCAATTAGTACATAATTTCAATTTGCTTATTCATTGGCATTATTTATTTATATTTTTCATCTGAAAATATTTTGCCGATTTTGCTATAAAATGACTATAAATAGGGAGTTAATGGTATCAAAGCTAAATTTTAATCAAACTTCATTCCATATTTCGACTGCTACTCTTTAATTCTTCAACATGGATATTCAAAAACTGTTTACCCTGTCAGATGCAGGTATATCACCTTTTATACATATTTTAATGATATAAGGTTTTTTAAATCTTTTCGAATATGTATAGCTTCTGTGCTGTAATGGCAGCAACAGGTGGCTCAGGAAGTCATCTAGATTACCCTGTTCTAGTTGCTTTGTCTATTTCTTCTCTAATTGGTAATGTCTCTTCAGCACAAGAGGATATTGTATTAATATGCAGCATCCAGGTTAAAACGATAGGCACAGCAATATCCTTTGCTAGCCAGTTATAACATTGACTAAATGTAACAGCTGACCAATACTATGAGAGAACAAAAGTCATGAGTTTCTGTTGTTGACAGGACAACGAAATCAAGTTTACCTGTTCAATTCAAGCATACTTTCCTCAGCCAGTTTCTACTAGGAGATTGTAAAGTGAAGACTTCTTTTAAGAACGTTGTACTTAGTTCTAAATAGACTAATCCTGAGGGAAAGAAAGCATGGAGCTAAACACAGTCATTTCATTTGTGTAAGTACACATCCTATTTTTCACTTAATTGTTTTAATTAAAGATTTTGTTCATTTATTCAAATTTGTTCAGACTTGTTATTTTACTCATATTTTAATTTAATGAAAGAATGACATTTTCTGTATGTAGAGGTACCTACAGCTGGAGAGAAGGTTATATGGGAGAGATGTTAAGTCTAGAAGTTGTTTTATGGCAACGTGGCATTTGCTAAAGCTGCAAAGGTCCAGGACATCGGTCAGCCCGCAACCACTCAAGAAGATTTGCTTATGTTTGGTGCACCCAGATTACCAGCATGGTTTCATGCCTTGCAAGTTCAAGATTGCATAAGGAGGTTTCTACTGAACTCCCAGGATGTTTCTAGTCAGAACAAAGCAGCTCCACCTCTGCTTGAGGCCATCAGTAAGTAATGGAAATATACTGGATGTGTTGCTGAATGATGATTTCCACCAGTTAAAGTTGTCTCGCTGGCAAATGGGGCAAGGAGCACCCATGGGCTGAGGTATCTTTCAGGGTTAAAAGAAATACTTGCAACTGAAAGGGAGAGTTTATGTTACAGATTTGACACAGTAAAGAATCAGATGATCCACCAGGCTGAGTTCAAGGCCCAAAGAAAGATTTACACTGAGGAACAGATCACCTATTCAGAGTATCTGTGCTGATTGCACAAGAAGACATATGTGACAATGGCCTTAGCAAATAGAGAGAACATCTTGGTCTATAAGTTCATTGAGGATCTTTCCAATGAGTTTATGTGAGAGTTTGTTGGTTTGTTTGTAAGTTAACCACAAAGCTAAACAACGGGCTATCTGTGCTGTGCTGTGCCCACTACTCAGCAAGAATATTGAAAGCTGGTTTTTATTGTTATAAGTCTTCAGACTCACCACTGAGCCAGTGGAGGGCTTTATGTGAGTGCACCTGGGAGATAGGGAGATCATCGCTCTCATGCAAGCCATATACATCACAACATACATGAAGTGATTATTTTAAACAAGCCATCAGGGAGGAAAAAGCATGCAGTAACAGATGTATTTCCACTGCAGCAAGCTAAATCCAAGCAGAGGGTTAACAACCAGCCACCTCCCCACAATGGAAATGAAAGGTAACCAAACTGGTCTCTAGTCAGAGGGCAGGGCTATGCAGGTCCTCCTAAGAGGTACTTGCCACAGCAATGTCTGTTTCCAGATTATATATCATAACAAGGTCAGCCCATGGGATACATAATGCAGCCACAGCCAATGCCTGGATATTGTTAAGGACAGGAAGATTTAAGCATCTGTTATGTTTATGGACTTGTGACGTACTGGTGAAAGAACTATATGCAGTTTGCAGCACAGCAAAGATAATAAAGCTATCGGTTCCAGTTGATGTCTCAGCAGTTGTCTGCCAACCCATAACATCAGTACTTTGCTGATCAGCAAAGCTGGCAAGAATATTAATATCAGCCATCAAATCAGCAAGTTCAGGATGACCATCAACAAGTGATAGATGCAGTGGCAAATGCTCCAGAAAACTGATGGAGCCAAAGTCAGGCTTGACGATTGGTTTAGGAAAGTTCGGACAATACTGAACTATATTTAACAGGTTATGGAAGTGGATATATTATCGATTACTGCATTCATGAATATTCTACAATCTTGGAGAATTGGCAGGGGTTTCGCCATATGTTAGTAAAACGGTAAGCTAGGCACGTTTTTACATATAAGCTCAGTTCCAACAAATGTTGTCATTAAAATAAATATATAACAAATTTGTTACATGCAATACATATCTGACACTATAAGTTACACATAATTTTAAATATAAATTTAATCTAAGCAACATTCATATTAAAAATAAATACATAACAAATTTGTTATATGCACCAGTTGCTTTTGAGTGACTGGTGAAACTTAAACTCAGAAGCTGCAATGGGAGAGATGCCAAACTTATAATGACCTATTTAATCATACTTTTGAGTCAGCATCTGAGAACTTGAATATGGTATTCAAGCATATAAAAAAAGCAGGATTGAAGATGAAATAGGGAAGTGTTAGCTCATGCAAATGGAAGTGGAGTTTTCTCAGTCACATTGTAAAGAAAGATGGAATGTCTATGGATCTGGCTCAAATAGTAATGGAGTGGGATTAGCTTTGACCCATGCTGAAGTTTGGAGTTTCCTTGGTTTAAGGTTATACTACTTACAATTTGTTGGGGTAATTCTTGAAGATAGCAGCACCATTGTTGGCTCTCATAAAATTGAAAGTGCACTTTAGATGAATTGAGGAATGAGATAAAGCATTAAGATCCCTAAAGTTGTAATATTCTCATCAGGACTGTGAATTTCACCTGAATACTGATCCCAGTGACAATAGAGTTAAAGCAGTGTGATTATAGTTGCAAGACGAAGTAGAATGTGTAATTGCATATAATAGTTGCATGCTGACAGCTCCTAAATGCAGACACTATACAATGAAGAAAGAGATGTTTGCAGTTGTAGTCTTTGTCAAACCCTATTTATGTATTAGGAAGTTAACCATCCAGATGCATCATATTTTGCTAAAATAGCAAGTAAACTTTAAAAATCCAGAAGGGATGACAGCATGTTGGATAACAATACTGCAATAATTGTTCATTTCCCAGGCTTGCAGCATGGAAACAAAAACAGACTATACTGCCACATGATGAGACCTAGTACATTGTTGGAATATCAATTTCATGGTCACCATGTGTGACTTAAAACCATGGCCATTTTAACCATAGAAAAGGCTGACTACGAGGTAGAGGACTTCATCAAAGGACAGATGACCAATGACAGATGTTTCAGGAGCTCTGGGAGGAGCAATTGAAGGACCCTGACCTACTGTGAATGTTACTTGATGTTCAGTAAGGTCAAGCTTGACTAATACTAGAAAAGGAGTGTAGCACTGACACAAGTAACCCATGGCACCTGTGCAAGAAGTTGCAAGAGCAAGTAGGTGAGCTCTACCATTGTTACCAGCCCCAAAGGCATGGCCTTACAAGAGTGCTGCAACTAGTGGTCTCAAGAGTTCTAAAGCAAGAAATATTCTGGAGTTTGCACAAACAAAGACTGACGGGAATCATGGTGTAATCTGCAATTGAAAATTGTCATAAAATGTTAGTTTTTCAACACTGGTGTGAAAACTGTATAGTGTGCAACAACAGCAGATAAAGGGTACATTCCAACAGGGAATTGTAGGTTCACCTTCACAGAGAATAGCCCTGAATATTACTAACCCACTCCAACTAAATATTCGTTGTCATCGACTATTTCATGAAGTGGGCAGAAGCTTATCCACTAATTGATGTATTAGCATAGACTGTTTTGGATGTGTTAGCTGAAAACTGGATAGCATGATTCAGAGCAGTGGAGGAATTCCACATGGAGCAAAGAGCTAATTTTAACACCCAACTGTTTGCTGAGCTCTGTAAATTGTTTGGTATGGTGAAGAGTTGTACTTCCCCTTATCATTCTCAGTCTAATGGTTTAGCAGAATGGGCAATACAAAAGTGGATGTTTGCAAAGTTTATTAATCATGAGAAAACCAACTGGGACAAACACTTGCCATATAAAATGATGGCATTTAAAGCAATGGAATATGGATTAACAGGCTGTTCACTGAACCTGCTCACGATCAGACTGAAAGTGTTAGTTCCTATGGACCTGAAACATGAATCACGAGAAGTCCCTAGTGTTCCTAAGATATGTGGAGTAGCTAAGATTAATGATGATGTTTGACACACATGATTTTCCATCAATATCTTGAGAAAGCAGCATGATGACAGAAAAAGTTATGATTGCTCAATTAAAGAAAGGATATTGAAATAAAATGACTGGATAGTGTTGTGGTAATTGTCAGTTACATGAATGTAATTGGATCAGGCTGGATTGGTCCATAACTGATACTCTGACAAATTAGTTCTGTAACATATGATTTACAGGAAAGCACATAGAACACACTGACAAGCTGCACCCATAGATACAGGAGTCTAGAGAGGAAACTGATGGGTCAGAGAAGAATGAAGACAACATCTTGAGTCATCTGAACTTACTTGCTATTGAAGAGGAAGTTGCAAATACTTATCTGGTGGTCTTCAACAAACGAGATGAAGAGTTATGGAACTGGAAGTGACTAACAGCTCTGACTGGCAGATGGAACACCAATGTTTACCTATTGATCAATATGGCTGGGACTGATCATAATAGTTAGGATGGCTAGGTAGTTGGAAGAGTACTGATGAAAAGGGTGTAGTGACTCCTTTTCTGAGCCCCTTCTGATAACATGAAAAAGTAAGTATGCACAATGTTGTGTGGTTGTGGCTTGATCATCAGAGCTAGAACAATCTTTAAGTTGAGAGTTTAATGATTGAAAGGAAGTAGTATCCCTTGTTTTCCAAGATATCAGGTGAGGCATATTGTAATGTATACATTACTTTGTGTGCTTTCCATATGATTATTAAAAGCTAGGATGATTACGTAGTTGGAACACTGCTAACCGAACAGTTATTGTGAATCCTTGCTTTATGAGCCATCAAGTAGTATTGTGTATGTACTATATTCTTGAGTTACTGCTCAATCATCATAGCTAACACAGTCATTAGATTGCAAAACTAATGATTGGAAAGAAATAACATTCCTTTCTTACTGAACTATCAAGTAGAAATATCTAGTAGACTGTATGGACTACATTTTGTGGCTGCTACTCAATTTTTAACAGTTAGAGCAGTCACTGTTATATATGATTATGGACCGAATGGAAGCCGTGTTCCTTGCTTTCCAAGCTATTGAGTGATATTAATATGCAATGTATATAGTATATAATATAAAATCATCACTCAATTAACAACACTTAGGATGATCAGAGTAATTGAAAGGGCAGTATGACCCCCTTGCTTTGCAAAGTGTTTAGTGTTTAGTAGACTTTCAGTTCAAAAATCTGGATTCATCTGAATTTTTACCAGTGATTATTTCATGAAGCCTGAAATAAAAATGAGTTTGATGGCCCATAGATGATACTACTGTTGCTATCAAGAGTAGCTTTGGAAGGTAGCTCAAACATTACCAAGATTGGTCATACAGTAGCCAGAAGCAACTGTACAAACTACTAAAGTACATGAAGAAACATAACAGCAGCATATGTATATGATAATGTATGTATATAAATAAACACATGTGTGACAACCAGCATGTATTTAAAACATTACACAGATTTTTCATAAATATTTTAAGCAAATTTAAGTAAACGAAGCAACTACACACAAATTGGTCATAAATAATAAAAAGACAGAAGGATATATACAGAAAACAATGACAGAATGGAGATAGATGATATGATTTCGATGTTAGGAAGTAATGAATATGAGGTTTACTGTGGTGAATGACTGCAAAAGCATTACTGGAAAGTGCCATGTAACTGTGATTTTCATTAATACTGAGAGAATGTTTCAACTTTGACATTGAGACATTCTGCAGGCTTGTGGATTTTTCCTGGAAGAGAGAGTAGTAACAAAGAGATTCACTCTATGGAAAGAGAATACATAGTTTTACCTGATATTTCTTATAAGCATAGTGCAATATTAATGAATGAGTGAAACTGTTAGTAGTATATGAAATTCACAAATAATGGCTTTGAGATCATAACAGTACCTATGTGTGGTGTACTCAGTGTTTTGTTTAGTTGTGATAGGAATATTTTCAGTCATTCGGGTAGAAATATTTTAAAAAAGCATATAGTTTAACTGAATTCTTTCTTAATGAATATTTTGAGACATGCAGATTGAAATATTTTTAAAAAGCAAATGATTTAAATTTATTGACATTGTTTCATTACAAAATGCAGTTTTGAAGCATGAATATACTGGTTGTAAGTGTAACAGAGAGAGAGAGATGTTAGATACCACTCACATGGTGAAACTTTGTAATTCACACCATAACTGTTACACAATTTATAAGAAAGTCCCTAAGAAAAGACAATGAGAGTGTTGGCAGAGACTATTAAAGGTAAGATTAGCAGCACATAACCTGAGTCAGCTCAAATGTGTAGGACCTGAGCAATCTCGACCTTCATTCCTTCCTACTGGAACTGAGCTTTGTCTTTGTGCAACTAAACAGGAGTTTGGTATGCATTTTCCCATTGTCCAACAGGGGCAACAGAAGGCAGCAAGGACACAGGTAGCTAGACAGTCAAATGAAAGCCCATAGAAACAAAGGGATTGAGAAGTCCTTGAGTTCCTTGTGCACATGTTTTACGGACAATAATGGGAATGAGTACATGTTTAGCCTATAAATGTGTTGTTTGACCAGTTCCTAGTTCATGGTTGAAAATAAGCATTACAAAAACCCTCTTAACCTATACATTCAGCTAAATCTTTGACCATTGAGAACTCAGTCAAACTTTGTATTTGAATCCAAACTTTCAGTATCTAAGGTCAAATTCTAGCCACAATCAGTTTCTTATTTTCAACTTTGAACTTCAACTAGCCAGTATTATAGTGAATCCTGTTCGAGAAGTCTTTCTTTTCTTTATAGTGAAGTATGAATCCCTCAAAATCATCATCATATAAAGCAACCAAGTTCTTGCAGGATTCACAGGACTTCTTCCTGAGTGAGGAGACAAGTGAAGCTGCCAAAGCTAGATTCTCCAGACTTAGTCTGACCTACTTAGTACCTGAGCTCATAGATGAAGATACTTTACTAGCTGATGCATCTGACATGGGAGAGCTCACAGTATCTGTGGTTGGGTTGGGCATGCAGTCTTTAGTGGCTGCACTATCACCTTTGATGGCAGAGAATCCATACTCTGAGAAGAGCAGCATTCCTGCAACCAGGAACCCAACAATAGCAATATCATCTATGACTCTGGAAGATCCTAGCTTTCAAGCTGCCCAGCAGCCTTCATTATAGTCACTCCTGATGACACAACTGAAGTAGGAGACTAAGCCTAATGAAGACAGGGCCTAGTGACTTGTCTCATTGGAGGATGCACCACCACTTTAAAAGGAAAGCATCAGATGTGCTTACACCTTCAATTGAACTACTACATCTAAGAGCCAAAGTAGAGCTTCCTGGAACTAGGTGCATCCTAATAAAAAAGATGAATCCAAAACAAGAAATTCCATTCAAATCAGCATAGGAATAACATACAACCCAACACTCGAGCAGATTCTAGTGCTGAAAAGGTACCATCAGGAAATGACTGCTAAATCAACAGAAGCATGAATCCTGTACAACAGAGAGAAGAGGTTAACCCCTCAAACATGGTACAAGGACATGTTCTGCCTATGGTTCAGGTTTGTTGACACTGAGATAGCCCTCAGTAAAGACTAAGATGATCCAAAGACCTTGAAAGCAGCCAACCAAAAGATAACAGTGGCCATGTAGAATCTGCTGGAAGGGTTTAGATGAGAGATGCCTCAAACAGTCTTTAGGGATAGTGTATATTTTGTAATATAGATTTAAAGCACTGTAATTTGTTTTGAATATTTTGTATTTTAATTTTAATCTAGAGTGCCCTCTGAATTACACACTCAGTAGTGCAAATGGAAGACAGGGTCTAACAATTTTGTAAGTGTATTCCTTTTGTTTTATACATATGTAATGATGATGTTCTTGCTCTGTAATGTATGTGAGCATGTTCGAAAGAGGAATTTAGAAATTCCCTTATGTATATATTTCTTTTCTATAATTTCATGTACAATGTATGTATGTTTAATGTACTACTAATCTCTCACGCATATCTACTTGTGAGTGACAAGTGGTAAGTTTTCATTATATTATTCAGGTTTTTTGTCTTTTTAATGTGAAAAGTTTTTATGTTAAAAATTCTCTATTAGTTTGGTTACTTTAGTCTTATTGTATGCTTTATCTGTGTTAAAGTTTTTTTAGAGGGGGCAGCTCTAACTTATTGTTAAAGGTAAAATAAAAAATGAATTTTCGTGACTGGGTTTTTTTTACATTAGTCTGTCCATTCTTACAGTGGAAAGTGTACCTCTGCATTTTATTTATTCCCTTTTTTAATTTTAAAGTTTAATTTGTTTGATTGTGTGAACCTTTGCATTGCTATTTTGTATTATGCCTGGTAGATGGAATATTCTTAACAATTTTGGGTGCTATGGCTGCAGAAATTTTATTTTTAAAGTTATACCTTTTATAATTTGTTGATGAATGGTATAATTTTTGATTGTTTTATTTGAAAGGTCATAAAGTTGAGATTTGTTATGAGTAATGGTTTGTTTTGGATTTACACTAAACATCTTGATTTAGGATTTTATTCAAATCTCCATCATTGTTATATAAAGCTGGTTTAACCACCTATATAAAATTGATAGCATTAGACCTATTTTATTTACTTATACAAGTATAATAAACAGACTCACCTTTCAATTTGTGCTGTAAACTCCTTGCTTTGTTCAGTCCATCTTTCTTTTTCACCAGATAAACCATTAATCAATGTTTCTGCTGCTATCATCTTCCTTTTACATCTTTTAGCATCATCAATTAAATCCTAAGAAACATAAATTACATTTCATCTTTCTAGTAGAAGTAGTACCTTATGTATTAGCAGTTACATCATCTATTTAGAGATTAAAACTCGTTTACAAAGATTTCATATTGTAAAATACTGCAGTTGGATGAACATCTGATTAAAATGAAAAATATAATAACCGTTTTCTGCTTTTTTTTATAAATAACTGGAAAACAATGGAAAGGTGCACAATTAGCAGATTGAAGAATAAAATAACTTTTTTTTGCTTTTTTACAAATAACTGGAAAACAATGGAAAGGTACACATTCAGCAGATCAAAGAATACAATAAAACAAAGTAGGGAGTTCTACAGAATGTTCTGGCTTCTTCAAAGCAAAAACAAAACTTCTTTTCTTGGATGTCTGAAAAAGTTTGAAACTGTAAAAACTGCAGTTACAAAGCACCTTTTCTCTCTAGCAGACAAATCAAATTCTTGGATCAACAAAATCCAGAAGTATGTTTGTTCCATACAACAGTTGCAGAGCAGTCTTTTATAGAAATGTAAAGTAGGATACAATACAATTATACCATGAAACAGTAGATAAGTTCCTTGACAAGACTGGCTACAGAGAGTAACACCTCAGGCTGAATTTGGCACATGACCTTAACTGTACATTTAGTTCCAAACTAAAACTTTGGGAATTCAAAAATTTTGTTGAGATGAAATATACACTATAAGAGAGTAAGGTATCTAGTATTTGCATACTACAAATGTAATACACTTTTGACAAACTATATGCCTAGTATTCAACTCTATAATGAAAAAGGTAGAAACTTTATCAAAAGAAATTAACCAACATCATTAAAATCACATATGTATCTAAGGCAAATGCCCATTTGACCTTCAAATTTTCTTTTGTTTACCATTTTTAATATATCTCCTCTTATTCAGAATAAGCATTAGATAAAAAATAAATTTCAAACGTTTACTCCAATGGATGTAAAACATCACTGACTATAGCCAACTGAATTCCCTTGTTATACATCATATGTATTGACCTATTCTAGTATCCCATAAACTTCTCCTGTCATGGTGATTGACAATGCCCTGTTAACAAATAATTAATTCCTAGTATAAATGTTCTCACATCTCTGTCTGGTCAGTACATGTTGCATGAGATTCTGAGGTTAACATGAGAGTGTGAGACAAAGCCAAACTATAAAAAATTTCAAGATACTGGTGACAAACTTGAAGCATCTGCATACAGCCTTTAAGTAGGAATGCTTACTACTTAATCATAATTTTACTACTGTGTACAAATCTCAATTACTGTCACATAAGATAATCAATTAATTAAATTATTAATAGTTTCAATAATTCCAACTATCCAAGTTATGTGCAAAAAATCAATTAGCACAATTTTACTGATTAATAAGCCCCAGATTTACTTATTATCAAATTCCACTAATTACCGAGCTCTAGTACAAAAAGACAAATGGTTGTTCACAGTCTGTGGTAAGAAGTTGTCTATCCAACCACATATCCCATTTATACTGTTGTGACCTATGATTTATAGGCTAAAAGCCCTGACACTTTTGTTGAAATTCAGGTGCTTTAAAACTGCAGATTACAAGTAAAATTGACCCCTTTTGAAATAGTTATATTACAGGACTTTGATATGAAGTTCTCCAATTTTGAAATTATAGAAGCATGCAAGACATGAAATTTTAGCATTTTGAAGAGAATGAATAATTTAAGCATCCTAAAAACAAGTTAATTCAACACTAGCTACCAACTGTAGACAAGTAAATAAAGGTAAATAGTTTTGCTACCAGGAGAAAACTAGGAAAATGGCAGTCTACTACAGCAAAGTAGAAACATATCTTGAAATTGTAAGCAAAATAACTCACATGGATTTAGGCTTAAAAAATATACAGGAGAGTCATGCTCTATTTCTCCTAATCAACTTAGCTTAATGAAAGGTATGAGTAGTATCTGACTTGTCAAAAATGGAATTATGTTAATACACTAGAAAATGCATATGTCTATTTAAGTATCTGTAACAATCTGGCCTATTTATCATTTATCCTATTCATTATATAACATTTATAAAGTGGTACATACAATGTTTTTTCAAAACATTTATGGTATCTACAAGTTACATCTAGAATGATAAGATAAAGATTCAGAAAGTTGAAAGTTAACATTTTCTAACACTGAATATGTATTTCTAATAGGTACTTATGTCTCTCACCCATCTCAACCTTGATTTGCACTCTAAGCATTGCAAAAAATTTTCAACAGCACACCAGTCTTTTATACCCCTTCATTTTTGCACAATTGCAGCAACACGTGTTGATTATGTGACTATCCTCGACCAATAATACTGTGCCATCTATACTAATAGAGGTAGTTCCCCCAACCATTGCAGCACAATCCTCACTTTCGAGAATTGACAGATACAAAGCAGAAACACTGCCAAATCAGTGTGGAGAAAGAGTGGGAAGTGGGTGAAGGGAGGTAAGTACCTATCAGAAATACATTTTCTGCATTACAAAATGTTAATTTTTGAAATGGTACTACCTCTCTCACCCTAAGCTAGAATCCCATATTGCATTTGTGGAGGGGCCAGTGAAGGTGGAAAAGTAATCAAACAAGTAGAGAACAACTGCCAGGAAAGAACAGGTGTGCCACAATTATAAAAGGGAGCACAGCTATGGGGCATAGCACTACTTCTGGAACAGGTATGCTCTTTGCCTAGTAACGAACAAACTAAGACACATAGGGTGGAACATAACAGAAAGGCACGATGTCATGTAATACAGATTCTGCCCATGGATAACAGATAGTATGTAACATATCAATATATGTAACATGCGTGAGCACATGGCACAATCATAGTCAGATTTGAAGAAGGTGCCTGGAATCAGATATAAGAATACATGGCTATGGCTAAGGGAACGTAGATGTATATGAATAGGCCAACTGATGTCTGCCCAGGTAAAAAAAACATCCAAGAGAAGCTCCTTGTGATACGTCGGATTATGCCAAGTGCAGTCCATTCAGTTAAAAACATCAATGGAAGCTCCTTGCATAAGACTGTAAGATCAACAAGTGTGGTCCAACTGGGCAAAAAACATCCAGGGGAAGTGCCTTGCATAAAATTCGTATTTCATGATCAAAAAGTGTAGTCTACCCAGGCAAAACACAACTGGAAGAAGTGCCTTGGATTGAGCATACTAAAATATTGTATAATATGAAATATAATGATGATAACCCTCTTCTCACAGAGTGGGTACATATGACTATGAAGTTTGTTTTATCATACAACTCCCACTCCAGAGGAAATGTCCACAATTCAATACTCTAGCGACTGGAAACCAGAAGTGGCAAGGACTCCTGTGCTCCACTTGAAGAAAGGGGGATGATACATGTTTGGGAGTCCGTATGGAATGACACACTGGACACAGTGAAATGGGTGTCTGTAATTCCCTATTTTGAAAATCAGAAAGACCCTAATTGTAAGAATCACGGGTCAGTAGAGATGGGTTAAAAATCCCCATCTGCTTTACTCCTGAAATCCATGAGCAATTGTCTGCTATATATTATACAGTGATAATATAAAAAAAATATAGATATAGATATATGCACACCCTTAGATAAGCAGCTGGTGGTCTTACAGAAAC